ACAAAGTGCTACATTAATCAGCAAGTAAAGGCTATCAGCTGTTTGAGGTAAGCTGGTTTAAGAATCATTGGAATTCTATTTTATTGTTTAAAAATATAATAAAAATTTGAAAGCTGGAGACTCTCCCCCCGCCCCGCCCACATAGCAAAGAAAATCAAAATTGAGCAATCTTCTTTCTCATCCACTTTCTTTTAGTGCTAAGACAATGTTTACATAATCTGTCTTTTCCTTTTTTTCAGGTGGTCTAAATACTAATCTTAAAATGGAGACATTATACTTTCTACAGCACATTAAGTTGTTTCTGTGGCCACAAATATCACATCTGACATACAGGGCTTTACCAAATGGCAAGTCAGTTCATCATTCTAAAATGTAAAGGGTAAAAACATTTAAATTCAGTCAAGGCTTTCCTTAATGAACCAAAGTCAAGATTAATGGATTTAATATTTGGATAAAAATCAGAGCTGTGAGCAAGTGATGAGAAAGAACAGTCGGAAAGAGGAAGTATAGAACTATTTCTTTTACCTAACTGTATAGAGTATTCAAGTCCAGCTTTATAAGTAGCTGCATACAGGGAGGCATCTGGCAAGTATTTCTTCTAGAGCAGAGCTCCTTCCATTGGAAAACAGAGGGTTAAGTGCCCATGATATCCTGCAGCTGCAGCAGCCAAATTAGTCATTTGCTGCCTTAATGGAAACCAATTACTCGGTTTTGATTTTCACTTCCTTCAAATAAAGCAGCCTAGGTCTCCCTGGAAATTACATCCCAGGCCCTGCTGTTACTGCCCCTGCAATTACTCTGCTGACATGCCTGGTCAACTTGCTTAAACTGTGCAGGGGTCAAAGGGTAATTCAATGGCATGCAATCTCTCTTTCGGTCTCTGATGAACCTTCAGAACAAGAATAGCTTTCTGGCTAGCCAAAAGAATGCCATAAATATCGGGAGGTTCTGCCTATTTTTTTTTTAATCTTAGTTACCAGATGTTGTTTATTGCACTTGAACATCCAATTTTCTGACAACAAGCTGCAGTTTATTAATAGATCAGTCAAAGACAAATGTGAAATGAAGAAAGTCCAGATAGTTACTGATAACAATGAATGTTAAAAGAAAGCCACAAGAAATATTGTTTGCAAACAGAAGCAATGGAAGAAAAAAAAAGAAGTGTTGAAGCATACAGATGTGCTATGAAGTTGATTCTAACAAAAAATAATGGCTATAATGGATTTTATCTGGTTTTGAAAATATATTTGTCAGAGAAATGATCCATTTGTCCTTCTCAACTTCATGAAATGTGCACACATATTTTCTACCTAGGGAATAACTTTACAGCTAATACCAGTTACACAACAGCAAGGCAGTGACTTTTCTAAGGCACCCGAAGGCCAGACAAGGAATAATGGATGAAAACCAAAGAAGGAGAGATTTATCCTGGAAATAAGGAGAGACTCTCTGACAGTGAGAACAATCAACTAATGGAACAGCTTGCCCTCAGAAGTTGTGCGAATGTCATCACTGGAGGCTTTCAAGAAGAAATTGGACTCCCATCTGTCAGAAATGGTGTATGGTCTCCTGCTTGGGCAAGTGGGGGGGAATTGGACTAGATGACCTACAAGGTCCCTTCCAACTCTATCTGTTATCTGACTTCTAAACTAACACAAGCCACCAATGAAAGTAAGATGCAATAAAGTATAGCAATAGCACTTAGGCTTAAATATCACTCCATAGTGTTTTACAGCCCTCTCTGAGCTGTTTACAGAGTCAGCATATTGCCCCCAACAATCTGGATCCTCATTTTACCAACCTTGGAAGGATGGAAGGCTGAGTCAACCTTGAGTTGGTCAGGCTCGAACTCCTGGCAGTGGGCAAAGTTAGCCTGCAATACTGCATCCTAACCCGAGCCACCACAGCTCATAACATCCAAGAAAGGAAGAAGCAACATCTTGAATACTGAGGACACACTCCTAGCCATTTGCTCAAGAGCAGAGGAGCAATATAGGGATCTACTTTACAATGAGTCAGATTCAGGGCTGCAGGCAAAGTAGCAATGGTAGAGCATGTATTGCACATGAAAGAAGTTCCACCTTCAATCTTTGTCATCTTCAGGGCAAGCTGAACTTTATGGAACCTTGGTATTTATAGTCAACATGGGTGACATTGATTCTGACTCAGCGTTAGGCCGCTTCTGATATTCAAAGCAGTAAAAAGCATTTATTATTTACAGCATCTTGAAAAAAGAATGTAGGCTTTAGAGCAGGGGTCGCCAACCTTTTGGACCTCAGGGACCACCAAACTCATAATTTTCAATCCCAGGGACCACTAACCAGTTCTTTGGGTGTGGTCTAATTTGTGGGTGTGGCCTAATTTGTGGGTGTGGCTTGGTGGTCATGTGATTGGCTGGGCATGGCTTGTATGAAAATATTATAAATATTTATATAAATATTGATTTTTTTTTATAAAAAAGAGCAACTTTTACCCAAAATCAGGCAAAGCAGGCAGGCAGATTGAGTTGCTCACAGAATCAATCAGTGATCTATCTATCTGCCATTGGCTAGCTCAGTCTCTCAAATTTGCTTGCTGTGAGTCTGCGCTGAATAACAGAACCTTCAGTCCTAAGGGAGATTCGGCTGTGCTTAAAAGCAGAGCCGAAGATCTAAAGACTAGCTAGAAAACAAGAAATCCAACCATTTTCTGCTTTCTAGCTAATCTAAATCTCCCGGCACAGCAGAACAGATGATGGTCGAAAAATAGTAATTTAGCCGGCAAGTTGTCAGGTAAGGAGTGAGTGGGCAGGGAGGGTTCCCGCGAGCCATGTGGGCAGCACAGCTTTGTGTTTCTGTGCAGCCTGGATCAATTGCTTTCGGGGAGTGCTCTGGGGCGTGAGATTTCTCTGCGGCCCACCAAAATTTTCTCAAGGCCCACCGGTTGGCGACCGCTGCTTTAGAGAACTGGTTTTTTTTTTTAATCAAATGATTAGAAGGCAACAGGACAACTTCCTAGAATATGGGACAAGTTGGTTTCATCCAGCACACCAGAGGAAAACGTCTATATAACTAGACTACAGATGGCAGCTATGAACTCACACCTAATTACTTCTATTGTTTTACTTTTGGGAATTTGCCAATGATAAAAGAAGCCATTGCTAGATTATGAAATCATATATTACTGTGATCATAGTACTTATACACCAAAACCCAGATAGCGCTGAAAGCTATAAATCTAGAAGAATGAACTAGGATGATGATGCAACATAGAAACAGAGTTTCTATGTGAGTTTTCCTAATCAGGATTCCAGTCTGGAAAGTTTCAAAGTGTTAAAGAAATCACTTTTTAATTTTATAACAATGAAAAACTCAAATGATGGGTATCACAATGGAAACAGAAGCACTGATGCTAAGAAAAGGGCATTTTCCTTTTGGGAGTGATAGAGAATTAGGAACTACTTGCTTAATTACTAAAAAAAAATGTGTAATAGTGCCTGTCTCCATTTGAAAGTGCAAGATTATGCCTGCTATTGGGTTGATAAACCTTGATAAAATCTAGTAACCCCAGTGATCACAAGTGGTCATTGTTTCATCTTTATTGTCGATGCCTTCAGGGTCATTGCCTAATGTACACCTCACTTCCGATTCAAGTTCCTAACTACTGTACAATTTTTCCAAGTGCTTACATCACAAAGGGCAGTAAACATAATGTCATACATAGAGAAGAGACAAAAACACCTGTGTTCATTGTTGTTTTGTAAATGTATCCCATTCAGTGAAATAGAGAAAGTAATACATTTGCAATCTTGGTTGTCTCTTTTAATAATTGCAAAGCCATGCCTCTGGTTTGTTGTTGTTGTTTTTTTAAAAGAAGACCAGATTCAAGAGCAACTAAACTGAAAGTTTATAGAGGCAGCTTGAAAAGAGAAGCAGGAGAGTTGCTTAACCAGAACACAACCTTCCTTCTTTTTGCAAGGCTGTTTCCTTCTCCCTCTTTGTTTCTCTTGCAACTGCAACCACTGGTGCAAGCTGCTGCAGTTCTTGTGTGCCTCTTGGTTAGTCATTCTTAGAAGAACTGTGCGGGGAGTTTTCTGCCTCCGCCTGGCATAGCGAAGAACCTACATGCCATTCAAAAAAAAAAAAAAAAACATGTCTTCATTACTGGTTCTCCTCTCTCCTCCCTTTCTGACACCACTCCCTTTTAACACAAGCCAATAAGATTGTTTCTAAGCCCACCAGGCTTTCCCTGTCAGTATTCATGGGCTGCTTGTAAATAGCAGAAGGAGGGAAGTGTTTGCATACATAGAGGCTTGGCTGAAAGATTCAAGTAGCAGGAAGGAGGGATGCTGCTCAATATAAACCAGAGAATATGGAAACAGGGTAAGAGCTGCTCTTTTGGCATTTTCATTTGGGATTGCAGAAGGGAAGGGAAAGGCTTCTCCCTGAATCTCATTAACGATGGAGCTATACAGGAGTTGCCTAACCAGAGGATGCCGATTCACTAATGGAAACTTTGACTCCAAGGACGGTAGGCAGAAATGGCTTTGACTTTTCTGGGCAATAAAGTTATCAAAATTGCAGTTTCAAATGGATGTAAAGATAAGTTATCTGAGGAAGAAACAGCTTGGAGGAACATCCCTAAACCTTCTCGAAGACCCTGAAGTAGAATTCAAAGAGATTTGGCTCAAGGGCATATTTATTTTTACCTTTACAGATGCACTGTGCCACTGAAATTATTTGGGGCAAAATCTGAACAAAGAGGCTTGCTAAATTGGTACTAAGCCTTAACATGGCATGCTGAACAGTAGTTGCATGACTTTTTTCATTTGGATGTTGTTGTTTTTCTGAAATGTACAGAGTTTTAGAAGACTTTTTGAGTCTCTAAAAGGGGCCCATCCGATTTCAGCAATCCTTTCAACTGTCAGCTGTTCACATTACAACTTGTTCCATGAAAGACCATGCTCGGTGTGAATTTTATTTTGGCAGTCTGGATTGATTTTGCTGGCAGGAAAGAGTCAATTCCATCATTTCACAATGAGTCTGCTGACAATAACTCTATTTATTTGTAAACTCCTGGGAAAGCTGTGGGTACTGTTTGGCCTGGGTGTTCAGGTTAGCATCTTAAGCAATGCTTCCACTTTCACAAGATGCCCTGAAGCCTGTATCTGTACTGCTGACCTCCTGAGCTGTTCCAGGAAAAACCTTCGGCATGTCCCTGTTACATTGCCTCCGACAGCTATCACCTTGGATCTCAGCCACAATGCTATTGTTCACCTTCATGATTATTGCCTGACCACTTTGCCACATCTTGAAACCTTTAGGATTAGCCACAACAAAATAAAAAACATCACTCAACGTGTGTTTCGCAATGCTACCTACCTTCTGCATCTGGATATGTCCTCCAACCATCTGCAAACTGTGGAAAAATACTACTTTGAAGACCTTGTGAACTTGAAAGAGCTTCTTCTTTACAATAACAAGATAGTGCAAGTAGATGGAAAAGCTTTCACGACATTAATCAATTTGCAAAAGATCTATCTAAGTTGGAATAGGCTAACAAAATTTCCATTTGAGTCTATTCAAAAACTTGAACATCCTTATCTAAGGATGCTTGATCTTTCTGCCAACAACCTAAGCAGCATTCCTATTCAAGTCATAGCAGCTTTGCCGACGTACATTAAAAATGGCTTATATTTTCACAACAACCCTGTGAATTGTGACTGCTCTCTGCAGGAGATGCTCCAGGAATGGAAACATCGCGGTTACAGTTCTGTGCAGGATTTCACAGAGGAGCACACTTGTAAAGCCTACCCCAATATGCTCTCCTTAATTAAGACCTTCAATTACAATAAATATTTTCAAATGTGTTCTTGGAACCAAAGGAAGTTTGACATTCCAGAAGTGCTGTGCAGAGTGGGAGAATCCTTGGTAATAGACTGCAACACCAGCCTCCATGAAGACAATACCACCACTTACAGGTGGATCTCCCCACGCCATGAATTATTCATGTATCCTGAGCACAGCGATCAGACACATCAACCTTTAAAAAATGGAAGCTTAAAGATCATCAATGCCAACCGGTCGTACTCAGGTGTTTATGAGTGCATAGCCATCAGTGATCTCCAAAAGATCAATGAAACGTATGAAGTTAATGTGACAGTCCACTACTCCAAATTAGTGGAATCTTTCAGTACTAGCCTCACAACCCTCCTAGGGTGTATTGTAAGCTTGGTATTAGTGCTGATGTACCTGTACCTTACACCATGTTTTTGCTCTAAGTGCTGCAGGAAGCCTACGAGTCCCCCTCCAGACTGCAGTGCCCAATCCTCTATTCTTAGTACAACTCCACCGGTCACAGACGGAACAAATCGCAAGATCAGTGCAAACAAGCATGTTGTTTTTCTAGAGCCTATCAAGGAGAATCAGAATGGCAAGGTCAAGCTGGCTGTCACTGAAGACTTTGATGTGAACCCCCCTAAGCTCCTGAGACTTAAACTGGACTCAGACTCAATCAGTACAGCTTTTTCTAATCCCGTCATGTCACCAGCAGATGCATAGCAAACCAACTGCAGAAAGCCTTCTTTAGTAGATGGTTGCGATGGTTAAAAAAAAAAAACTTGTTTCCATCCTGGGAGGAAGAGAGAAGAACACAAGATATATTCATGGAGGATTTCCTCACCACAATCTATAGAGGATTTTTAAAAACGTTCTTTGGCTGGAGGATGAATCTTACATCTTACGTTATCTCCCCCACTAATTCCTGTGCAATCGCTCCGGTTCTCTTAGGCATGGAAATGAAATGCAACTCCTTTTAAGCAAGGAAAGGAACAATTGTTCTCTGCACATCCCAAATGATTGCTGCATGCTTTGTTCTCAAGATAATACAATGTTCTAGAAGGTTATCTTCTCCCATTAGAAAACCGCTGTGGAGTATAAACTTGTGTTGTGGCTTTGACTTTTAGAGAACAAAGTTTTTACTATATAACAAGGCTATTTTCATCTTTGCAGAAGACCCAAGTGCCTCATATAGCCACATGGAGACCCTTTCTTACTTGCTCAGATATTGCTCTAACTAGCCACTGCTTCAAACATCAAACATTTGTGAAGATAGATTCCTGAATCCACCCTTTCTACCATCTGCATTGCTTACAAGAAGTTAGCATAAAAAAACAAACTGAAGCAATGTTCCCTTTAGAAAGGAAACAAGTATTGCCCCAGATGACCATACTTGGATATGTGCAGTTAGCCCAGTAAGTAAAATTGATTGTATGCCTAGACTATTTTAATAAATACGTAGCTTTATTTCACAGGAACTAAATATGCTGGCTGAGATTTAAAAGTCCTATGTTCTAAAAGTCTGTTTTAATTGATAATCTGTTTCCTAGTGGCATTCCCTAATGCAACCAGGCAGTATCACAGCTATGATAAACAGATTGGATATATGTTTTTTATAATTTCAGTGGCAAACAAAAATCCATGCCTGAAAACATTCTCCTTGGAATTAGAGATACTGTTGTTGCTACTGAACAGTTATAAAAGATGCATTTGATATTAGAATAATACCTACGACCCATCTGTGCCACGCTCGAATTTATCATGTAATGCAAGACTTAGATGAACAAACTTTCCAGCTTCTTTCTCCTTCAGAAGGGCAGATTTGCTTGAGAAAGTACTGTTTTGGTAGTATTTGTAATCCAAAATTTAAAAAAATGGCAGACTCTTAAATTGCCTTTAAATGACAGTGTCTATTTTTAAAAATAAACTTTTACATTTGAAAGTATCTTTATATCGTTATATTGTGGGGCAAAGCTACCATAGATTAAAACAACCAGTGAATTCTTCTAAAGTCAGTATTTGAAGGTATATTTCGGCCAGCAATTATGGTAGTTTATTTCTAGAGTGTAATTAGAAAAATCAGGGGAGGGAAGCTAATGCCTCAAATTCCTATTCCGAAAGTGGTCAGCTACCATTTTTATTGACTTAGCCATTACTTCCAAACTTGAATCAGCTGTTATTTTTCAAGGAAACAAGTCTAAACCTCAAACTTTGTTTCTAATTCCTCCCTTATGATATAGTATATTTTATAATTTGTTTTGTATTTTAAAGCCTTTAAAGTGTTAATATTTATTCATCAAAATCCTTAATTATGTTTTTTCTATCTTTTTTTTTAAATCCAGTAGCAAATCTTATGTATATTCCTGGCTTCAGAAATCTGCATGAATAACAATTTATGCCTGGGAAGTACCTGAACTTGGACTGTCTTGAACCTCTAGAGGAAAGCCTTTTCAATGCTGTGGTTTCTAAGGACACTATATCTGAGCCTTCAAGAATCAAGCTTGAAATATACAGAGAACCGCCATCAAAACTGCTTTCAGTCGACACAAAATCTTTGCAAGGGGAAGCAATAAACTTACATCAGGCCCTATGCATGGGTTTCTGCAGGGAAAGCATGAGAGGGGCAAATGATGACGTATGTGAGGGGTCCTCTCTGATATGAGTTGGGTTTTTTGTTTTTTGTTTGGCAGATGCTTCATTACCCAAACTGGGTAACAATCATCAGTGCTAGTAAAGAATGGGATTTGCTTTTATAGTGGCTCTCCCTGTCAGGATTGGTGGAAGTGGTCTTAGTGGATCTTTGGTTGGGCAGTTTGCTTGTTTGGCCGTTCCTTGATCTGGGCATTGTTTACTTCTTGATTATGGTGTTAATCTTGGTGTTCCTCTCCACTCGACTGGATGTTGATTGCTGGTGGGGAGAAATTTTAGTCTTTTTCTTCCCTTTTTGGCCTGTTCACTCTCTCCTTTGCACAGTATATAAATGTTGTTTATATCTATGAGACTATTCATGGCCAATCTGACATGGTGCCCGACTTCCAGAAATTCTGTACCATTTTTGGACTTGGCTTGGTCTAGGATAGTCAGTTTTCCAGTTGAAACTATGGGTAAGTCTGTCCACGTGTTGTGAAATTAAAGATTTTTCAACATGTTTTCTGATGATGTTACCTAATTTGTGTAATGAAATGTCTGAAAGAAAACAACCAAGCTCAGAAATGTACCAAGGATCCTCATTTTAGCCGACATACGAATATTCTCCTTTATTGATAACATACGTATTATCATTTCTGATGGCACCATTTGTTGTCAGGCATCCTGGTGCAAATATATAATTGCAGCATTTGTGTGATTACATCATTACACAGGTGTCGTCATTTTGGCATCACAGTTTGCTGTGTACATTGCTGGCATTACTAATATATGTAGATATGTATTAGCCCTTAATATAAAAAAAAAAAGTGTGGGGGGGAGGGGGAAAGCTGAGCAAGTGACATCAAAGTTCCCAGATAAAGCACACTCTTTATTGGTTTAGCCTTCTCCTCGAAGTGGGGTGCACTTATACTCCTTTCAAGAAAGAAAGCACAACACTCCATTTCTTGATCAAACAGCTCTATAGACTTATCAAGGTCTTTCTGAATTAGAATAGCCAATGTCTGTGGTTGCGTGTATTAAAGGATCCTTCTACAAGGGTACCCGAAACAAGACAACAGGTTGTAAAATTCAGTTTGTTTATATTTTATTCAGTGTACTTATGCCTATAGTGCATTGTGAAATTTGGAGCTGAAATTGATTTCTTAAAATGTTCATCCTTTATATATGAAAAAGCAGAACGTGTTTGCTGAAGGAGCAAAAACCAGGAAACATAGGTGATCTAAAGTACAGAATTTCTATTGCATTTCCAAATATTTATTATTTTGCAGGCCATTGAGTAATTGCCAAATTATTCCAAATAAAATAATTTGTTTCCAAAACTTAAAAAAATGATTTTCAGAATTTATTTTGAGGGTAAAGTACACATTGCTTCTGTAAAATGCATGCCATTCTGATTATAAAACAGAAATAACTCTCCAAAAACATGTAATCAGGGAAGAGGTGATGTATTGAAAATCTGATTAGCTTTCTTCCATGAATATAATCCTATAAAGGAGAGGGGGAATCTGTCAGCCTTTTCAGGTTTCGCTAAGCAATAGTTCCCAGGGTCCCTCACTATTAGTGATGCTAGCTGGAGTCACTGGTCTGGTTAATCTGTAAAATCTGGAGGATCACAGATTCCTTTTTCCCTGTTCCAACTGTCTAGAAATTCCCAGAAGGGGCTTTCTTTCAACTTTATATCTACTTTATTTAACAAATATATACAGTCACCCACCTACAATGGGACTTTCTTGGTGACCAAACAATAAAACATAACGCATACTGAAATCAATTAACAAAATGAAGTTGACATCATGGCAATAACACCTTAATAAATGTCCCACACTTATACATCACATCCTCCATCCATTAACATCCTAGATCTAGTACCTGTCAGAAAAGTGAGATCTTCATGTCCTTTTGTGAAATATATGATGTTCTGCCTAGCTTCTGTAATTATTCAACCTATTGGCAAAGTGCAGGATTATGCAAAAGACAAACCCGATTTCTATCAATCATGTATTGCTGAATCTATGCGGCCACAATGCTTGATTTTATCTGGCAACAGTCACTTGTTTATCTGGCTTTGAGAACACAGCATAGTCGAAGTTCATTGTGATTTTTAGGCCATATAACAAGCATTAAAATATTGGGCCTCTGCCAGTTAACAGAATATATTTTATTCCATTCTTAACTTTCCAAACAACTTTACTTTCAAACTTACACTTAATTCTCACAATTGATATGTCACAGTGTTACTGTCAGTTATTTCACTGTATTTGCTAATTGACGGAATTCATTTATGAGATGACTAATTGAATTTTAATACCCATGGGGTGCTATGGCAAGAAAATTATACTATTATACTATCAAAGTTTATTCTTAGAATTCACTGACTATATCCAAGTCAAAGATGCATTCCCTGGAAAAGAAAGTTTGGCAGCACAAACTTTAGTGGGCTAGCTAGAGATTGTTATTATATTCCTGTCATGGAAAATAAAAACTGTAAAGGGTTATGTTATTCAGCAGGTCCTGAGCAGTTCTGGAGAATCGGTAGCAGAAATTTTTATTAGTTCAGAGAACAGCAAATACCACCTCTGACTGGAGATTTTACAGTATCCTTCCCCTGCCATGCCCACCAAGCCACACCCAGAGAACCGGTAGTAAAAAAAATTGAACTCCACCACTGGTTATCACTTGGTTATCTTTTGAAAAGGACTATTGAGTTGTCATTGAAAAAAAAAAATACCTTCTTCAGGACTAGCAAAGATCTTACATTCTTTTAAAATATTTTTTTTTCAAAAGATCTTGGCGAAAAAGAAATAACTTTCCTAAAGTCAAACAGGCTGTGCCTCTTAGGAGAGCAGGGAAGGCTGCAGTATGTCCTCTGCTATTTCTTTTGTTTTCTCTGAAACACATTCAAATTCAGTGGCTCAAGTCCCAAAGAGATTCTTCTAGGATCCAGAATTGTATCTTACTGTATTTTTTATCTTTATTCCTGCTTCTTGAGTCCAATGACTACCACTCAATTATTTTTTTAAATCTTTTATGTAAAAAGGAAAAAGAAAATATTAGAGAAGAAAATTATACGTGTGTGTGTGTGTGTGTGTGTGTACACGTACAGGTAGTCCTCAAGTTATGACTACAATTGAGCCCAAAATTTGTGTTACTAAGTGAAACATTTGTTAAGTGAGTTTGCCTTATTTTATGACTTTTCTTGCCCCAGTTGCTAACTGAATCATTGCATTTGTTAAGTTAGTAACATGGTTGTTAAATGAATCTGGCTTCCCCATAGGGATGCTGCAATGGTTGTTAAGTGTGAAAACGGTCATAAGTCATTTTTTTCCAGTGTGGCTGTACCTTTGAATGGTCACTAAATGAACTGTTATAAGTCAAAGACTAGCTGTATATATATATATGAATGTATGTGGGTGTGTGTACACATGCACACACACACACACACACACACACACACACTTACATATATAAAGTACCTAACTTTCAGGTGCATTATTAAACCCTGACCATACATAATATTGTTATTCATTCATGACTCTGGGCAGCTTACCATTAAAATATATATTTTACAATTGAAACACTAAAACATTTAAAAACAATAGAAAACAATAAAAGCATTCAAAATAAATATGTATAGCAGCTGAGATACTTGGCCAATCAGCAATATAGCCAGGAAATGGGGCCCTTAACACATTGGTCAGTCTTTCCATTATGTTGATAGAGAGACAGTTTGTAGGGACAAAGCAAACACATACTTGCAATCCAAGACTGTAAATTTGGGGTCATTTTGTCTTTCCCGGATTGAAAAGTAATATTTTTGCTACCTCCCATGTTCAAGAAATCCATAACTCTATGGTTATAAATTCCAGGGTTTGGGTATATAATTCAAAGTAGATTAACATCTTTAAACTATACTGATGCTGTAACGAACTGATGGATTTGTAACAAAAATGGGGCAAGAGTGGGACAAGGCTATTTCATATTCATATCCATCTCATCACTCATCCTACATTTCAAATGTAATTGGACAACAGCTAAACCTTTTAAAATATTCTCTCAGCAGAGCAAAAAAATGAAAACACCCATTTTTTTTCCTGAATTAATTTTATTTTTTATTTCATTAAATACATTCCTAATAGCCTTTAAGATTTTTAGCTCTTGATTTCTTGACGTGGGACATTCCAATTATTTAACAGTTCCTAAAACTAGTTAATATTTAACTAGTGGGTTATTTAATTGTTCATTAAAAATACTGCAGATTTGGAATAAATCAGATATATCCCCAATGCCAACAGATGCTCAGGAGTTTTAATCATGATTAATACATCACAACCAAACTCTGAAATCAAGAGGTGTTTTAATAAAATATACTGCCATTTTCCCAATTCCTCTTGCATATTTTTTTAAATGGACCGATAAGCTGATGTTAAATATTGTCCATGAATTCAAGTAAATAAATAAATGAGATTGCACAACTCCTTGTCTGAAATGGTGTAGGGTTTCCTGCTTCAACGTGGGGTTGGGCTAGAAGACCTACAAGCTCTATTCTGTTATTCTGACCTACATTTTTCAAACTGGGGCTTCCCAGACTACAACTTATGTATTGTAGTTAAGTAACAAGAATAGCTCTGAAGGTCAGAGGGAAGATCTGCTGCCAAGCAACAATCAGATAAATGAGGCTTGAGGGGTGTGTGAAAAGAAGTGTTTTTTGAAAATGCCTCAGACAATCCCCTCCCTAATTCTCATGAAGATAAAAAAGGGAAGCTGTTCTAAAAAAAGTGGCTTTCTTAGTCTGATTTATAGGGCTAGCAATTCATCATGAGAGTAAGGGCTGAAATTATACCAATGTCCCAATGTCTTCCAAATGTGCTTTGCCATTTTTGAGGTAGGAAATACATAAAACTACAGCTAAAAATGGAGCTAAGCTCCTGCCATGATGTCAAAGAGGTCACACAATAAGTTTCTAATTGTGTTTAGTGATTTTTTAAAAACTCATAATATTCATTTCCTAGATAAATTGAAGTAAACATTTGTATCCCACGATAAAACTGGAGATCAGGAAAATTAAAATCTCAATTATCACATGACAGTTATTTGGATAAAGAAAACTAAAGGTTGTTCTGCTCATAATTTTTTTTTAGTATCAACTCTTCTTAAAGTAAGATATTAGCCTAAATGCATATTCATAATTTCTATCTTTTCCTATACATTCAGGATTTTAACTATCTATTTCTATTTATCTAAAAAATTAAAAGGTGACACATTTACATCCACTTGAAAGTCTTCTTTAAATAACTATTCCCAGATATTTCAAAGAATACAAACAATTAAAAAAACCCACTGCTATACTTCTGGGGAAGCAATGGCAATGGAGCCAACAACTGAGGTGATAAATGGACTGGTTTCTCAGAATTCCTCTCTGGACAGGGACAACAGACTTGGACAATAGTCTCCCACAGATTTAGTGCTCTGGAAGCGAAAGGATCCCTGTTTTTATCCAAGCTACAGTGCAGTGCCCTCAAAAGGATACTGGGTTCATAGATTTCCTTTCTTGGCCCCATTGGAAGTTGATTATTAACACTGACTGTTTATTAAGAAACTTCAGAACGACAAATTTCATACACCAAGTGAGTCCCTTTTAATCCTTATTAAAGAAATTTTATGCAAGTTTAAGGACAAGCTATTTTGGAATAAACAGCAAAAGGGTGATTAGAACATTGATTTTGGAAAGTTATAAATGAACTAAGTGGCAAGATGGATTGAAAATAAGATTTTGAAACTAAATACAAGAATCTTTCCTGTGAGAAAATATTGTTGGCTACTGAAACATTAGAATGTTAAGTATGTACGACTTTGATTAATTGAATAACCTGATGACTACTTTTGCACAATAACATTACTTTTGATAAAATAAATATGTCACTCAACAGTGAGATGGGCAGGATATAACTTTATTAAAATAATAAATGAATAAATATCAATGACATCAGCATATAATAACAGCCTACATTAATCTATTCCCACTGTTATGCCTCAACTGTTTTCCATTTATCTTAATAAAGCAGGCCAATGGTATCAATATCAAATTAAAAGACATAAAAGGACTCCTTGATTTCACAAGATATGCTAATAGATAAAAATATTGTTCCACTTATAATAATCCTAGCAAAAGGTGTTAATATTATATCTTGGCCAAATTAATTTTTTTTAAAAAAGGGAATCAATATAAAAGCAAGACGTATTTCAGGAATTTTTACTTTATCTACAGAAAATGACCTTGGAAGAAAACTACAGGGCAACAATTAGAGAAATGTGTGTTAAGCCCCGGAAATGAAGACATTTAGAAAATTAAATTAACAACCTCTTAAATCCTGAACTTAAGAGGGATGAAAAGGAAAGCATAGACTAGCTTTCAAGATTCTATTACTGTATCCTATATTATATTTTATTAGTATATTAATAAATTTCAAGAGTCTTTCCTGAAGAGTTCTTCACCCAACCTACATCAAAAGCTCACATTACCATATAAAAGGCATCTTCTGCTTTGAAAAAAAATCACCAATGTGCATTTAAATATTTCTGAATGTACTGTATATCCAGAATGTAATTTAGTAATTTAATATCAGATTCTTGGCAACCTTTTCTAACAACAGATAGTGCAGAATAGATAAGCAAATATATCCCGTCATCTATACGGTAGAGCCAATGCCAATATTTTTGCATTGATATTTAACTTGCAATCAGCCTATGAAATCTCAATGATGTATCTCATTAAACAAGGTCTATTTCTCAGCCCACACCTTTCCATTACCTATGGAATATGTCCAGAAGTTCTGATTCATATGTAGAATCCTATATATTAGCACCAGAAGCCATATTAGCACCAGAAGTTCCACGCTGCCACAGATCATTTGTTTCACTCTACTGTAATGCTATGGCCTAACAACTGTGGTCAAAGGACTATATCAAGACAACGAGATAAGATTTCTAAAACTAAATAATAGATATGTGCAGTGTTCGGCAAAGACAATATGAACTTGAGAAGAACAGCAGGCAGAGCAGTATTCACAGTGTTAGTTTCACAACTCAGTTCTCTGTCAAAATAATAGTAATAAATATGTTAAAATTAATCATCTTTTCCTACTTCTGCATATTTATTCATAAAAACATTCAGATTTAAAAATAATTTTATCGTATTATGGTTGATCGCTGCAGAATAAGTTAGGCAAAGAAATGATTAGAAAGTGACCAAAGTTACAGATAAAACGGAAATTTATCTGAATTTAATATGAGCTAGTTAGTTACAAATTATAGCATTAATGTAACATGCCTTAAAACTC